CATAAAAAGTTTGGGAACAACTGGACTAGTGGGTCACTTTGTCTATCAAGTCAAATCTATCTTGTGTTAATATGCAACTTGACCTCCCAACTTCACACTGAAGAGATAAAAGCGGTTTGGTCTTAAATAGGACCATGAAGGAGTGAGGTGAAACCAAGACTAAGGTCGTATTCTATAGTATTCTGTTTTTCATCTCCATTTATCACTGCTCCAGTGTGCCTACTTGACCTTTAGCAGTTAAATTAGGCTCTTAAAGTACTTCCTGCTTTCTACTATAACTGATTGTTCTTTCTACTTAAAGAGTGTACTTTTTTGTTGTTTTCTTTGTCCTTCTCAGAATACTTTACTTTTACAGTATATATATTTTTATTTATTTGCTTATTTTTACTTTTATTTTATTTTTTGGCTATTTGGCCATGTTTTCATTTTTCCCACAGTTTTCATTATGTCTGTATTTACTGGACAAAGGAAAAGAAAATGTTATTACAAGAATTGTAGCAAGTACATTTAGAGTGTAGGTTTACACAACAAGAGCAGAAGGAATGATAAATGAAATGTAGATACTTGCAAATCTTTTTTTCTTTTAAACAGTATTTTTTATGACTGTAAAAAGACTGTAAAAACTGTCTAACATATATCTAGAAAGGGAAATCCTCAGAGGAGATGCTCTTCCTGTCCCTGCAGCACATCAGGGTTGAATCTTGCAGTTGAAAAGATTTCCCTGCAGCTCCTTTGTGGCTGTATAAGTTCTCCATTTCACAGCAAACTTCTTTTATCTCATCTCCACATGGCCGGTGACAACAGAAACCATTMTGTTAGATTAGAGCCAGCTTTTGTCACCAAGTCTGATTAAAGAGGAAAAAAAAACACCTGTGGTTGTCGGTAGCCATACAACAGAAGGTCTGATCCTGGATGACTGTCTCATTAAAGCTGAGAGCTGGGAGTTTGGATCGGTCTTGGCAGCAGAGCTGAGCTGAAAGAAAAGGTTGGAGACCAGAGCTTTAGAAGAACTTTTGCCAGGGTTGAGAATTATGGAACAMGCCTTTTCCCGTTCGGTTTAGCGGYGTGTTGTATGTGCAGAGCTACAGGATCTGATGTGTTACTCTGCTTAAAGGGAGTAGAGGAGTCCTGTTGGGAGGTAATATTGAACACAGCAGGTTCAGAGATGGGCAACTGTTGAAGACTCAGATGTGTTGGAAGTGTGTGTGTGTGTGTGTGTGTGTGTGTGTGTGTGTGTGTGTGTGTGTG